ATAAGTCTCTACTTGAAATTCTTTTAACTTTTCAATAAAAATAAAAATAGAAGGATGCGTTGAATAAAAAGAAGTATTAAATCTTGAATGAAAGGATTCACAGGCATTCGTAGTCCTCGCAATAGACGGATTCTGATTAGACCATATGTGCGGTGGAAATAGAGCGCTATCGATTATGTAATTTTCCAGTAAATAGTCTGCATATAAATCAAGTGACGCGTTTTTAGGTTTATATGACATAAGATCATAAACAAAGCAATCTTCAACATCTACTGGATTTAAATAAGTTAAACCAAACGTATGTCTTAACCATTTTCCAATTTCTGAATTTGTATCCTTATATTCTTGTACCAAACCCAAAGATTGAATTTTTTTAAACCAGTTCTGATGTAAGTGAAAACGGCATCCACTAATTTTTACATTTGGCCACATAGACAATAAAGCACAGTGAATTGCTTTTTCAAAGTCCACAAATATTTCAGTTGGCTCTAATGATAACTCAAATGTTTCAAAAATCTTTGACTTTAATAAAGAAAATAAATGTTTGTATGTCATTGACAATTTGTCCTTTAACAAACAGTATGCTAAAGGTACATAATGTCCATTTTCAAAGCCATGTATTGTAAATAATTGGAGAAAAAATTTGGTACTGTATGAAAATGTACCATCCATATACAAAGTTTGTAGTTTACACAACAAACGAATATTTGTCTCGCATGAAAATACAATTACATTAAATTCAGGATGATTTAAAAACAAAAAACTTTCATTGCGACAGGTTTTAGGAGAATAATTACTAACCGCGTTATGAACTTCTGATATGCTTCTAGGTAACGGACCTGGTAACAGTTTACGACGACAGTTGTAAATGTTTTTTCTTATGCAAGCTATGTCAGGAACCGTTAGCAAATTGGCATCACACTCAGTAACAGCAGTTCTTGTAATTTTTGCAGGCTTTTCTGATATATCCTCTTCGGCTTTTCTTTTACATGCATTGGTAACCATCTTTACTTGAAGCTTTTTCGGATCGGCTTCATGATTATGTACCAAATCACGTCTTGTGATGGTGAGGTCATTACAGCCTATTGTAAACACTTTTGCGGAACACTTAGTGTTTCTTTGAATGCAGCGCCAAAATATCTCGCCGCTTTTTAACACTTTCTGTTTTGAGAACGAATGATTCTCCACCACTAATAAATCTCGACCACGGGAACTTTTTATCAAACTCATGTTTAAAATATCTATAAGTGCACTAGTCAACGTCAAACAATAAACTGCAACTGAATAATTTTCGTGTAAATTTAGTCACAAGTACAGAAGTGACAATAAATATTGGGGAAACCCAATTAATTACCTACCTACCTGCTTTAGGGCGCGGTGTCGAAATTTCCTATAATAAAATTTGACCCCTCGATTACCCCAGGTACAAACACAATTTGGTGTCGAAAGTTCGCCCGCGCCTATTTTCAAAGTAGACATTAGTTTTTGGACATTATTATTCATAATTTATAACAGTTTAACTTATAGTATAATAATATTATAAATATGTATAATATATATATATATATATATATATATATATATATATATATATATATATATATATATATATATATATATATATATATATATATATATATATATATATATATATATATATATATATATATATATATATATATATATATATATATATATATATATATATATATATATATATATATATATATATATATATATATATATATATATATATATATATATATATATATATATATATATATATATATATATATATATATATATATATATATATATATATATATATATATATATATATATATATATATATATAATATATATATATATATATATATATATTATATAACAATATATATATAACAATTAATAATTATATTATATAATTAATTAAGTATAACTTATAGTTACCTAAAATATTTTAATAAGGAAGTATTCATTATTTTATCAAGAAAAATAATAGTGATTTTATTTTGTGAGGAAAATTGCTTCTTGGCCCCAAAAGCTTATGCTCAAAAGTATCCAAAAATAGTAATCTTCCTGATAAGCGTTCCTTTGAAAAACTACTTGTCCTATTTCGCAGAGCTGGTAGTGTGATTTATAAAAAAAACCTGTTAGGCAGAAACCTGTCGTTGGAAGTGAAGAAAATGAATTTGCCGTAATTGTCTCTTTTATAGAAAATCCATATATCTACAAGTCATCGTAAAATAAATCAAAGAACTACTTAGGTAAATTAAATAAAAGTAAACTGGTATAAATTTAAATAAGCCCAGAAACTAATTTCGATTTTGAAAATAGCTACTAACTGTCAGTAGAATCTTTCCATGACGACACTAGCCCTCTTGGTTGCCATTTTATTTAAAATATGCTATTTATTCAAAATCTGAGCTAGATAGGTATAGGAAACCCTAATAGAGTATGAAAGAGCATTTGAATCCGCTTCGATTTATTATAAAAAATACAGGGTATTGTGTTTGAAATAACGAAGTTTTTATGTAAAATAAATCTTTAAAATAGATCAGCAATTTTTGATACCCCTGTATAAATTTAAAGAAGCAATAACATTTTCCAGTAAAGTTTATTTCTCTACCTTTAAATTCAGCACTAGAATTAATTCTGAAAATTAATGTACAGGGTGTTAAGAATCTATTCTACAGTAGCAAGCAAATTTAAATATCTTTAAATATCTCAAAAACCAGTGATTTTAAAATATTTAACACTTATAATAAATGCCTTTTTTTGGACCCAGGAATCCAAAAATAAAATAAAATACCGGGTGTTCCATAAGAAAAAATATAACTTTGGTATGTATCTTAGTTCTGAAACACCCTGTATATTTCAAAATAATTTTAAATTTAATAAATATACCCATAAAATATTTTGTTTCTACATCTTTCCGTTTTCGTATAATCAACCGAGGCGAATGAGGTGCGCCACCCTGCATATTGTAGGTAATATAATAAAAACAAACTTAAAATACAATATATACAATAAAACAAAAATAAAATACACAAAAAATGTAACAGGTTAAAAAAAAGAATTAAACCAATTAAGAAAAACTAAACTATAAAATACTAAACGGCAAAAAAACAAAGCTATGAACGTATCTGTTATTTTAAATTTACAAATACAATATATACAATAAAACAAAAATAAAATATACAAAAAATGTAACAGATATAATCAAACCAATTAAAAAAAGAACTAAACTATAAAATACTAAACAGCAAAAAAAACAAAGCTATGAACGTATCGCAATCCTTATTGGCGGATTTCGTTCCATTTGGCGACGGCGGGTACCATTATGTATTTTTACTGTCACGCTATCTACACCCTTATGAACATATTTAAATAAATACTTAATTGATGTTAATATACCGCATATTTCAGAATTAATACTACGATATACAGACGTGATTGACGTGATTTCGTACAATGAATAAATGTAAATGACGTGATTTCGCACAAAAGCTTAGGTAGAAATTCGAGCACACGCCCTCCCGCATACAACTTGCACCTGAATTCTCTCGACCGCAGATACGGTGGATATAATTGTCCGCTACGATCCCGTATAATATCGGCTCTAGTACCGGATCTGGTAATTGAGCCGATATTATTCGATCGACACGGACTACTGTATCGATTTTATCTTCCGGTCGAAAAGAAACCATAATGTGCGCATGAAGAAGGCCGCTTTTTTGAAATTCTACCACATAGAAATCAGCTATCAGATTTTTTTCATTTTTTTTTTGTTTGTAATCCAAATTGAGACGATATGACCCAATTTGGATTACATGTGAACGTTATAAATACGTCTAGTATCCTATACTTGGCAACTATGGTCAGTTAGGTTTTCCATACTTGGCAACTATGGTAGTTAACATGGCATCCATATAGAGTCGGTTTTGGCTACGAGCCGATCCAGGATAAGAAGGAATTCTATTATTAATTCAATTATTCTACCCACTTGGCAGTTTTATTCTTGGGCGCGGTGTCGGATCACGAATAGGATCGATATATAAGAGGCCGATCTTTGATATTGTTAATCGATCAGCCGTGATAACACCAAGAGGAATATCGTTCGCATGCTGATATATTTGACCACATACATTAAAGCACCAGTGAGCTAGTTCACCTTGTGCATTTGCTGTATGTGGTAGCGATGTTTGGAGGGAGAACGCATCAATATGCGCGAGTTCTCAATAGAATTGAACAGAGAATTTACAAAACGGATATTTTCTCTGAACAGAGAATATCCGTCTTGTGTTATGGATAAATGTGTATGAAACCACCTCACCGATGATTCATCTCTATTTGAATACTGTTTTATGCGTGTGTTCTTATATAGGCGGTGTCAAGGCCGCTTACTTTGTATTAGGGCATGATGGCGTCGTAGACGATTCACAACCGTTTGAATATGTCGCTCTTCTATCGTAACATCGTTAAGAAGTTTTAACTGTTTGAAACTCTAGCAAATTGATTCTCTCTAACGGTATGATTAAACCTTGGCTTATGGCTAATTGAGAATCAATTTGTTTGAGAGGTATCTGTTCTAAATTAGGTTTATCATTAACACCAATAGACTTGTTATTTGGCGGGTTGGAAGGTATATTTGTATTAACGAGTTTATTTAAAATTTGTTGTGTTGTAATATGTTTATTAGTAATTATGTCGAATTTCGGGTAAATCGATTCTCTCTAGTGGTACGACTAAATAGTATAAAATAAACTAGTCTGTTTACAATATTACATAAAATTTTAAGTTGCATTAAACAAAAACCTAAGTGGGCATATACAATATTGATTGGTCATAATACCGTTAATACCGTGATCATAATACCAATACCGTTAAAGGTTAGTTTTACATCTTTTTCCACAACATAAAAAGTTTGACTCCAATGCAGCTATGATGTTTACTAAAGCTTAAAGTTACCAGTTTCAAGATAATAAAAATAGAATTACTAAGCTCAACTTTTTTAATAAAACTTAAATACTACAAACAAAAACAGATTTACAAATATACATATAAGTTAATGAAATAAAATTAGTTATATAAGTATCTTTTACAAAAGTATATTTCTTGAGTTTTTTGAGCCTATAAAAACGATTTATACAAAATATAATATTAAACTATGATCGTAAGCCTAATGCAAAATGTATTTATTACCTAAAAACGTGTACAGCTACATAATATAGATTATCATTCTAGTTTTATTTTGTAACTCCATTTTTCTTATAAAAAATAAAATACATTACATTCTTTATCAGAGCTGCCGGAGAACGTCATTACTCTTAATATACAACATATTATATCAACAAAATACAATCTGACTATATAATTTGACAATGGAAATACGTTATCAAAAGTAAAATCATCCTAGCATATGGGGTAAAACGTAATCCTCAAATAATCATTTTACAAATGCGTCTACGGGAATACGTCCTTGGCTTTGAAGATTCTCAAAAACTCCGACAGCCCTTACGAAGTCCCAATCGTTTCCTTCTAGACACCTGTAATTAATAAATATTTTAAAACAAATATAACACTAGCAAATAATAATACAGCTACAGAAAACACACAGCTAAAGATACTCTGACTCCTTTTCAAATTCACCATTCATTAACAATATTAACAGTGAATTGAAGCGTCAATTAACATAAGTAACAAACAGGTGGTTACCATACCATTCATGGTAGTATGGTATGGCAATAATAAGCTGCCCGCCTCAGCTTCAAGGTGGCAGCCCTAGCAGTGCAATTTGCTAGGAAGGCTACAGGAAGTGAACGAAACTAATTGGATACGTCAATCAATCCTGACTTATGTCATATATACCGACATACCGACTCTTATTTTTTTTTATCTGAAAAAATAAAAATGTTCAACATTATAGGTGACGAAACTTCATTCAAAAAATTTCATTTCAACTGTTCACGTCATTCCGTTGCCGATTTAGTTTCTACTTAGTATCCTTTTCGAGTGTTTTGTTTACTTATTATATTTTCCAAGAAAAATATCGAAAATTATGGCGGCTTGGTATTTTATAGAAGCTTATCCTCAAATCTATTATTTTCTTTAATATTGAAAGTTTTGTTTTGCGCATTTTACAAAGAAAATAATAATACCGTTTATTAGGAACATATTGGGGTTAACTAAAGATCTGAACCAAAAATCCTGGAACAGGGCAGCACATGTCACTGCGAGGCTCTGGATCGCAAGCGACACTTACTATTTGAGGCTAGAAGCGGAAGAACTATGCTCCCTTCCTATCAAGGACCTGCACAAGTTGGCGCAGGGTACAGGAATAGGAAAGTTGGTGAAGACATAAAAAAGGAACAAACACAACGGGCCTTAGAGGTCGCAGTGTTTCCGCCACAGGACGACTTCTTAATATTGAGAAAAAAAGGCTATTAACTACCTTAATAACAAACACATGTTCTTTCATTTTTCATAAAAAAAATTGCATGTTCTAAAAGGTTAATCCCCTTTACACTTTTCCAAATTTCCATACCGTTTTGGAAAAAATTAAAAAAAAGCATGAATATATATATTGTTGAAGTCTAAAAATGAAAACGCGTTTCTATGGTAATAAAATTTCGTTTTCACTTTCATATGGTAATCGCAAAACAATTTTCGATGCACGTGATCAACTTTGAGAGACAAGCGATGGCGACAGCGCTCCCAGATTGTGATGGATTTATGAGATGAATCTTAATTTAAAAGTGACAAACATATTTATTATATCATTTTTTAAAGATTTTTAAGTTTAAGCAAAGAATATCTTAATACCCTAGAAGTCTCGTCTCGCATCAAAATCTGACCTGTCGATGGGGCCTCGCTTTGGCGAGCGAGGCCCCAACTTCGTGGGGCCTCGCTATTTTGCTCGGAATTGAACGAATAGACGCGCGGCGTTGCCTTGTTTTGTGTGTACTTTCTTGAATAGTTTTAAACACCATAAGTGGTAATAACAAGTAAGAGGGTGCTATAGTAAACGCCACGAATGTTTGGGAGTGATTCATCGGTCGCTACCATGTGAACTAATCTGTTCAAGGTCACATAAAACTAAATTCCAGTGCCGTGGTGTTTCAAGTCATATAATAATCAATACATAATCTGTTGTAATTTGTTGTTTTAACTGTCAAAGTCTTGTCAAAACATATATTTGGTTATAAATATAAAATGGAATGCCCCATTGGTCGCACTGCAAGCACACCAATGGACTGACGCACAAAAACGAATCAATCAAAGAAACGCGATATAGTATCGTCTTTGTCAATCACGCTAACATTTTAGAATAAGTAGGAGGAGGGCAGGCAGATGATTAGACCGGGCCTTTAAAAACCTACGTATGCGGTAAAAATTTACGTTTTTAATGTAAAAACGATAGCGCGCGTGTCGATTCTAACTTCATCAAACAAAGAATCACTCCCAAACATTCGTGGCGTTTACTATATTAATGCATAAACTAATAATCACAGAATTTAATAAAAACTAACGTAGAAATAACTTTGAAAGTGTGCTTATCAATCAAACTTACTTCTCTGACTGCAGTTCATGGTAATAAAGGACCTTTATTGTCACGTTCTCGTTCAAAATAGTTTATCAGGGAAGCTACAAGCTGTTTGCTGCGGCTATTTAAATGCGTCGGCATATTTTTATCACACAATTTCAAGAAATGCGATACAAAAACTCGAAAATTTAGTTGTTAAAGGAACTGTTTAAAAGGACAATTTTTAAAAGTCTATGAAAATAAGTCAAAAAACGAGAATTACTCACAAAGATTCAACAACAACCTGAAAACGGCGCAATGTGACCAACATAGCTATAATAAAATTCGGTTTAAACTAATTATTGCAGCTTTAATCTAAATAAAATATGTTACAATCATTTGCTCTATAAAGTAAAATAAAAAGCTGCTCGGTATCTTAAAATATACAACAAATTTAAACATTTTTGCCAAAATTTCATTTAGTCGGGTTTATAGACTTTAGTGTCAATGTCGATATGATTGATGACGTGCATCGGAAAATGAATAGGTTAGAATTTTAATTAACGTCATATTTTTTGCTTTTTAAAATGGTAAAGAAACATAAAATTTATTTAATTTAATACTACAGAAAGGGTGATAATAGTTATCGGAAAATGTGATACTTTAACACAGCAAAAAAAGATCGTAGATCTTCCTTGTCAGTCTCGCTCCTTCCTTGCCTCCAAATAAACCATATGCGAAAATGCCAAAAGTTGCCATATGATATGGTATTCTATCCAGAGTGTCATTTTTTATCGAATAAAGTAACAAAATACCGAGGGTGTCGTTTAAAAATCAAAAGGAGTAATTTCTGGTGAAACAGGAAGGGACAAAAATAACTGAATACATCAATCAATCCTAATTTATTTCATATACTAGCATAGCAAATCTCGTTGAAGAATTAAGAGTTATAGGGGTGAGCCACTTTTGAGACGCACACGGTATATAGATGGTATTTTTAGAATAACTTGAAGCCCAGTTATTTTTTAAAATAGCTTACTTGGAGAAATTAATCCTTATCACACGACATATTCATAAAATTACATAAAACTTACTTCAGTGACCACTCCCAGTTCATTCCTGTTTTCAAAGCAATTTGTTTGACCATTTCTTCTTTTGTAGATTTATCAAGTATAGGTGATACTGCCACTGAAACAGGAGGAATAATAGGGGATGCTTCTGGCGTAGATGGAGGGGCTGCTGTACCAGATGGAGGTGTTGGTAAAGATGGCGTTTTAAAAGCCTCCTGAAACAATATATGTATTGTAAGCCAAAACACCTTGGCTATCAGGTTCAGGGCTTAACCATCATTAAGCTAGTCTGATGAAACTTTTGTGTTGACAAACATATTACAAAAAAATATTGTTCTAAGTAATCACAGTACCTATGCTTATATTTTCATAAGCCAATAAAACAACAGAAAATGTCATACATATATCTCTCATATGAAGTTGATCTATATAGAATATATACATATTTATATGTTACCGGCAAAGTTTGAAATCCGACAGTGTATAGAATTTACATAGAATTATATAAAATTTCTAAAACTATCAGATATTGTATGAAATAAATTGTATTATACATGGTGGTCCGAACTGTATTCAGGAAACTTCGATAGCATATTATGCAGATAAAAATAAGTAAAAAAGTTTGTATAAATGTATGTCCTAAAATGCTTATTTTCGGAAATACAGGGTGTAGAAGTTTCATTTTTGTTTCGATTTTTTTCCAAATAATTTATGAAGAAACGTCAATATTTGAATGAAAACTGTTTTCTAGGAGTTTTTTGACATGACAAATTTGATTTTGTTGTCAATATGACTCCTACTTGTAGAGGGCGCCACATACATATTTTTTAACTGGTTTGAACAGTAATAACTTTTTGTCCGCACCTATATAAAACTAGAGTAAAAAAATATACATTTACGATGTTTTTTTACGTAAAAAAAGGCCTCTTGTTAAAAATCGCTACGAGTAATGGTTCTCGAGAAATTTAGAATCTAAATTATCCATACCTGTCATCATTGACATAAATTAAACATGATGACTAAATAGTTATTAGACTGAAATCATAAATTTGAAATGTTTTGTGCCAAAAGTTTAACAGAAACTGTTTATAGTCATTATTTCCAAGAAAAATTTATGATTAATTTAAAAAAAATAAAAAGTTCCCAAATTTATCATTTCAGTCAAATAATCTATCTACTCAACATGTTTATTTTTTGTCAATAATATGTGTTGACTATTTACATTCTAAATAGCTTGAGAACCGTTGCTCGTAGTGATTTTTACCAAGGAACATTTTTTACGTAAAAAATCGCGAAAATGTATATTTTTCCTCGCAGTAGTGTTATACAGATATGGGCAAAAAGTTGGCGCCCCCTACAAACAGGAGTCATATTGACATCAAAATCAAATTTCACCTGTCAAAAAACTCCCAGACATTAATTTTCATCCAAATATTGACGTTACTTCTGAAATTATTTGGAAAAAATCGAAATAAAAATGAAACTTCTACACCCTGTACCTCCGAAACGAAGCATTTTAGGACATCATTTATACGAACTTTTTTACTTATTTTTATCTGCAGAATATACTGCCGAAGTTTCCGGAATTCTAGGCATTTTATAGAATACCGATTTGATCATGAGCAATGTATGGAATATTATACATACAATTTGGGCACTACCGGATAAAGCCTGCCGTTTGACTCAGGGTTGTTTTGCTGAAGGGAAATTCACGTACTGCGTCACAATTCCTCTTCGATGCTCGTGCACCTTACGTCAAGGCAAAATCGTATTTTTAGAAAACACAATCACGAAGAAACAGTTTCAAACAAACCCAATCAAAACTCATTAATGTAACTAAAACTGCGGCTACATTTCAAGGTACGCGACAACCCAACCCAACCCAACCACACCATTTATAACTCAAGAACGGCTGGACCGGTTTTAATAATCTTTGATTTGTTGGATTCGTCTAATAGCAGATAACTATTAAAATATCAATTTTTATGAAAGCCATCTCATGATTTTTTGTCTTATATTTTACTAGTGAAAGAGCCATAATGTAAAGGTGCGTCCACATTGCTCGTGATCCTGCTCGCGCTCTTGCTTCTGATTGTGCTTGCGTTGCTTGCGCTTCCTGTTTGTCGTGTTTCTCAAGATCTTTCGGCTCACAAGTAACGGCGTCCACATGTAATGTAGTGCTTGCGTTCGTGCTGTTCGGACATGATGATACCGAAGTATTTTTAATAGCGGCTGCTAGTGCGATCATTATTGCAAAACGAAGGAGAAAAAGAGGAAAAAAACGGTGTTGGATGTCTAGTAATTTCAAAAGTAGATCCCAGAACAGTGAAAGAAAACATCTACCCGATTTACAAACAGACAGAATGTTTTTTTAATATTTTTATCGCATGTCCGCTACTAATTTTGAAAGAGTTATTAACTTAGTTGGGGCCCCCGTACAGAAAGGAAAAATACGACTTTTAGGAAGTGTATTCCGGTTAAAGAAAGAGTTAAATAAAAATTGGCCATAACATTAAGATTCTTTGCAACTAGAGGCTCACATACCAGTTGGGTTATTTATTCAAGTTTCCAAGCAAAGCATTTCAAAAATAATACCAGGCGTATGCCAGAATATAAAGTTCTCAATGATCAGATTAAGATAAATAGGCAATATAAATATATATAGCTAAGTATTAATAAAGTTAAATTCACTCCAGGTTTTAACCACTTCGCAGATATTTTGTTTTTAACAAAAGTTTTAGTAAATAAGAAATATATTGACAACACCGCATAGTGCTTCAAATAAAAATATTGTTTTATATGCACAATTTTATGCTGAGCTCAATTCTGTACCAAAAAGGGGAACCTAGAAATTCAGGGGTGAACGCACCATCGCCCAGAGTCCAAAACCAAAAGAACCCCAAAATGCAATTCAGGGTATTTTATATAAGCATATGCGGAGAAAACCGTAGCTGCATTGTCAAATTTAATGCCGAAAAAAAGGGGTCCGAGAGCGTCTGAAAGACGCATTTTAGCAAGCGTTATACACTCACAAATATTGTATGCAGCACGGGCAAGGCATACAGCTACTAAATGTCAAAACAGACTGGTGAAACTAAGGAGATTACAGAGGGCTCTGTGCATTAGAGTTTGCAGCGCCTACCAAACTATATCATGGGAGGGCGTTGGTGTTATTGCCGGAATTCCTCCGATTGATCTCCTGATACAAGAGAGGTATGAAATCTACAATGGTTCGACAAAAAACGAAGCGAGAGCGCAACTCATGGAAAAAAATGACAGGAAAAATAGACAGGCGGAAGCCATGGAAGGTGAATGAGATTTGGCTATTTTAAAAAATATATAACAATTAGAAAGAAAATCGACACTCCGAACTACGATTACTGTCAAGCTGAAGACGACGCCGAACACACTCTTTTCAATTGTTGTAGATGACAGAAACAATAGATAGACTTGAGTTCACACTTTATAAGTTATTACAGAGATACTTCTGACCGAAACGTTTTGTAAGCAAAATAAATAAAGACAATGGAAGTCCGAAACTCTTTTAGTTTTAAGCTCAGACCAATTATAACATACCATAAAGTACCTATATGATATAGTCAGTACATTTTACACTGTTTTCTTTGTACACGTTTAATTTTATTACGTGTTCTGGATAACTTTTCTATCAGCTATTGTTTGATAACATTTACTCTATATTATGTTACATAATATGGGAGGGAACTAAAGCGGCCCATACATTATCAAACAAATTGCGCAACGCAGGCTGTTGCGCAACGAGTTGCCAATGTATGATAGTGTTTGATGCGTTGCGCAATTGTTTGATGAGTTTCAAGAATATTTGAATTCTTTTGTGCAACAGGACTGTTTGCGCAACGCGTTGTGTAGTGTATGTGTGTGTTGCGCTTCGTTGTGCAATATTTTAGTTCTTTCATCCAAATTCTTTGTTTTCTTTTTCGTTTTTTGGTATCATCGATATCATCTAGGGTATATACGATAATAATTGACGCAATGACATGATTGTTTCTCAAACAATGCACACCTTTTAATAAAAAGTTTGATCAAAATTTTACTAATTGCATGGGTGAGGCAGTTGTGCAACGGAACGTTGCGCATCGCTTTGTTGCGCAACTTTTTTGATAGTGTATAGACCGCTGAATCAGTTGTGCAACGCAACGTTGCGCATCGCTTCGTTGCGCAATTTGTTTGATAATGTACGGGCCGCTTAAGAATTAACACTTTCTTATTATTTTATATCTATCAGTATAATTCAACTGAAACCAATCAAATTACTTAACTGAAACCAATAACAAAAAGAAGATTGAAGAAAGATTGAGTTTAGAGAATGTCAAAGCTATTTTGTGGTGCCGTAACTCTAAATTAGAAAAACGTAAATGGCAGAATAATGTTTGTGGTAATAGCAGAATTGTGTCAGTATTCAACTTTGCCATATCCTTCTTTTGACTTAAAAATATACAAGTACGTAAGGTGTTCCATTAAGAATAGCTCTCGGCTATATCTCGGAAAGCGGAAAGCATTAACCCCTTACCCCCGGTGTTTTCAGGTACGGATAGCGTGTTATAATCTGCCAGATATATTTTATTTGACAGATAGCAGAAAAACGCGTATCTTCACCTATAGATAACAGTATCTATTAGATAAATTAAACTTATCTCCCAGATAACCTATCTGGTGTCCTAACTGCCAAATAGTGCTTTATTTGTCGGATAAAAATTTGACGCATGAGCAAAGGCATGAGGAGATATTGATTTTATTTGATATTTGACAAAATTGCTTAACATAACCAAGACATTGTTATTATTGAAGATTTCGTTTATTCTAATAAATTCGTTTTTAGATTATTTGGAAAAGACTTACCTATTCTGAGTATGTAGGCTATAATCATTTTAGATCGTATGGGGTATAAACACCAATAAACACATTGAAATGGCGCAAAAAACTATTGTTGCTAGTGCCGGACTTTATAAGGACTGTTACAAAATTAAGAGAGTCTCTGTTCTGTTAGAGCATCAGAACGAAGAGAATGCATTAAGTTAGGATAATAGTGATAAAACAGTAATTTATAAATTATTTTATTTAATTCCTTTCAATTATAAACCATTACTACATATTATATAAAATGCTAATGTTTATCTGTGTCGTCTCTACTGAAGTAACGACTTGCTCTAGAAAGTTGCTTTTTTTACTAAAAGATAGTTAATTGGCTCGTCTAAAAACTGTCGTCGCCGGATTTTTTGTTTTTCATTTAATTAAAAAAAATAAAAAGTATTTTTTTTTCCTGATGTCGTGGCGGATGCGCTAGGCTTTAACTAGTTTTTAATAAAGCTCTAAAGTAGGTAAAAAATAAATAAAACTTTTTAAATCAAACTACATATTTATTTCATTTTCAATTCGCATATCTTAATTTATTAATATTATAACAGGAACCTTATAAAACCAGTTATTCAACTCACATTTGCTTTTATTTCTTTTGTGTTACAATTTTAGTTTAATTTTTTGCACTATGTACCTTATACCGTATGATCGAAAACAAAACGGCGTCCAGTTGGCTGGGAAATGATGATCGATGATATTTCCCATATAAATTTACATATGAAATGACAGCAATCTTTATTTCATAGCCATTGCTGACGCCGTTTTTTTCGATCATACGGTACATCTCTTCTCCATGCTGTTTTTTAAGTAACTCTCTAGCTAAACCTTGCTAAAACATCTGTATTGTGGTCCTTTGAATTCCAGTTAGTTCAACTTTGTTTAGACAAGATTTTTCCTTTATTTTTTGAAGTTCCATCACTTTGAGTTCTTAAAAATAAAAGTAATATGACAAAATTGTTTTTATTTAATTTTTTTTATTAAATAATTTGTACATATAATGTGTAAATGTAACAATTATTATAGGTACTATTCATTTATTATTATTAAGACAAAAGTATAAGTGCGTTTATCTATTTTATAAAATAAAAACTCACCTTAATTACTATTGTTGATGCTATCCTACCTATTTTTTTACTATGAGAAGCCCTAGAACAACATTTGTTATTACTAACAGTCTTATGCTATTTTTAATTTTCAATATTAATAACTTATCAGATGGTGGTTTTAGGATTGGTTTATAAATCTCTGCTTGCACTTCACCAGCTTCTTCATATTTTCTATTATCAATTGTACTAAAATGTTAATATAATAAATATAACAGTAATATCATGTAATTAAACTATAAATTACTTACAGATTATTTTTTCTTGTTTTAATTTCTTATAAATCGCATTCCATCAATAGATCTATTGCACCACCACCACTGCTGAAATTGAATTATCTTTCCCTTTTTCCATAAAAGTAAATTTAAATAGCCTATACCATAATAGGACTAGTTGGAGTTGAACTAATATATATTTTAGTTGAATTTTATTGTTTTTATTTTCATTTTGACGATCTTTTGACAACTGAACAATAACCTCACTTTTTAATCTAACGATTTGAAATTCCGAGTTTCTGTCTCTGTCTGTTGTATCGACTTTTCATATATAACCATCTCAATTTCATATATCTTATATTGGCAATACTTTCTCTACAGAGTGTCTACCGGTCCGTAGGCGGCCGTCCTCCAAATTGTTATCTATTGGATTATTTTGTATGAAAATACCCAAATGTTATATCCTATAGATATCAGGCTCTAGATTGTTTATCTTTTAGATGGTTATTTGTTAGATAAAAGTTATTTATTTATAACTGAAGAGACCGCGCCTTAGTATTATAAATTATTAGATCAACATTTTGATAGTCTTAGTAGCGTTTTTATCCTCTCTAACTGCCGTTCTACAAACTTAAAAATAATTTTCAGCAATTTCTTATAGCCTCTTTAGTTAAAAATATTTTTTTCCGTAGGCCCTATGGCTAATACTTTCCGAGATACAGCCGAGAGCTATTCTTCTATCCGTGTACAAAATGGTTAAAATAATAGTTGAAACAAAAAACCCGGAATTTTCTGAAGATTATGATGCCATTATTAAATTACATGATTTAAAACAAATGTTCATTAGATATTTACCTTTGCTTGATCTGGAGTGGCATTACTAACATGAAGTAGATCATTGGCGATACAAAATCCTGTTCCTGCAGGTACTATAACCAGAGTTCTGAAGAAAAATCTGGTTGGCGGTATTTTATGTCCACTTTTCAGTTCTTTATACATGCCAGATATGGTTAAGGAAATCATGTGTGGCTGAAAAAGAAAATAAAAAAAGTAATGCAATTAATTGGGCAATAAGAAATATATTTCAACTTACTGTAAAAATTGTCAAATCAACAGTAAAACTATGAATGTCATGCTTTGTCTGCGGCATTTCTTGCAAATAAGATACTACTGAAAGATGTCCCTGTCTCAACAATTTAAATCTTCTGTCCCCATCAGTGAGTTTTAATATATTTCTATTGTCTGTATTGTACCAGTTCAGCCAAGATACATTCTTTTCTTTTCCATATCCATAGGGGTATGCCATTGTTAATGAAAATACAGCATGTTCATGATATGCTTGTAAAAGCGGTTGCCTATTTTCAGTATCATAGATTTGAAAATATTGCTCCAAAAACTGTCGCACAATTACTTCCCCTTCAGAGTTGCAGAGGAAAGTTTGTTGCCCATCAGGTAGATGCGTTTCTTCTGAGATGTCAAAACTTATCGGTGGAGGCAGGTCAATTCCATCCTGACAAAATAATACTATACTTAATATACAAGGTGATACCGTATGATAGTCCAGTTGGTTTGGCGTCCAGTTGGCTTGGAAATGACGATCGATGACATTTCCAATATAATTTAACATATAAAATGACAGCGATCTTCATTTCACAGCCATCGCTGACGCCGTTTTTATTCGATCATACGGTATTTAGGTACATTATTATTATTATTTTAAGTACATTTTATTATTAGCTAAACTTCAGGAGGTGATTTTAAGATAAAAATTATATATGTTACAGTGAGTCGGAGATTCAGTGATTGTTAACTTTCTAGGAAGTTTCTAACTAGGAAATGCTAACAATTACGCATTTGACCAATGAATGTCGTTTTTTAAAAAGAATTGTCTGCTTTTACTAGTAATTTCTACCATTCATTAGTGAAAGCAACATTAACTAAAGGTTGCCAATAAAAGATTTTCTATTGTACAGGGTGAGTCAACAATGCATTAATGTTCATTATCTCATTTGTTTTTCGAGTTAATTAATTAAATTAATTAATCATTTGTTTTTCGAGTGCTAAAAATAAATACAGAAGTTTCAGACGGTGTTAAAGTGCATAATTTAAATTATTTTTAATTGTATCGAGTGCTCCAAAATGTGTGGCAAACATAAGTTTTATTTTAAAATAACGTTGTCAAGGATTATTATCTTTCCATATAGTGATTAAGCGCAAAGATGGGAAAAAGGGCTTACAACTATCAATTGCAGGTATATTTGCTATTGATCTGATTGCTTTCTTTTGCTTAATACACTGTTTAAGAAAAGTGCAAAATAGTATGCAATACGACTTCAGAGATATGTTATTATTGTCACCTGTTGCCTTACCGTAAAGCCAATTTTCCTAATTGCAAACAAAGCCGACGAAGGTCGTTCATTTGATTTTATTTTATTATGTGTTCTTGCCAATCAAGTGAGGTGTCGATTACAGAGTGCAGAGATGAGGAGAAATATCTCTTATACGACTTTATTTGAAAAAGTGGTCACAAAAATGGGAAGAATAAGGGTTCACCAAATAGCCACAGTGGCGCTAACGACGGGTAAATCTAAAAAATGAAAAGTAACCATAGATAAGAGAATAAAAGTAACATAACCAAACATTACCCAAAAAAACTTTGTTTTTATTTTTTAGAATATAAAACAATTATTTTTATATATTAGAGGCCCAGTCTATTGCTGCTGAATAAAAATCGATAATTTATTTCATGTAACATGAAAATAAAATTTGTATTTTTTTGAAACCCGCGCCTTCACGTCAAATATTTATCTCTTTTGAATCATTTCCTGTTCTAAAAATTTTCGGCGCACATTTTAAATTTTAGGTTTTTGCTACAGCAGCGCCATATTAAGTCTTCCTTTTTTATGACCATTTTTTAATGCACGAAGATATTTATCCTTACGACTCCATAGTGTCGATATAATCACCTAGAATTTTTTTTCAAACCAGATAACTTACAAGGCAAATACGACGAAGCACGTCTTTATCTCACTTCTGTTAAAATAATTAAAAAATCCTTGAAGGCCAGGTTTTCAACAAAATGGAAACTATCTCGCAATGGATGTCTTTTTATAATACCACTTATAAGTTATTTCATACAGAGTCAAAAGGCATGCGAGGCATCTTGGACACTTAAGAGCATATATCAAATTTCGGAATATTTTCATTTTCTCGGCATATACTGGATCAACTTTTAAATTTAACTTACAACTGGGAACAGAAAATGTAGCGCAAATTATCTTCATTTCCCTATATTATAGATATTATACATAGATAACAAGTACAAATTATTTAATCCACAAAATTTTCGTTTGAAGCATTGGTTTACTTATTTACGAAATATATTTGATTTTTAAAAGATTCAATTATGTTTACAGTGTATTTTTTTTAATTTTTCCTGGAGAATATAATTTAGGATATTTTTGACAAATCTATAGAAGAAAATCATAATTTATTTGTCATATTGTGATATAATTTTGTATTTTTGTATCTCTCTCGCATAACTTGAAAACGAATTCGTATAAATTATGCAAAATAATTTGCTTCATTTTAAGTTTTTAAAACTGTTTTTTATTTCTAAGTACTTGAAAAAAGTTTCAAATAAGCCTTTTTCCAAAATAAAACTTCTATTGTTCATTTTTAAAATTTACATGGATTTCCCATGTTCACGTGGGCGATGCAGCACATCCAGAAAATTACGAGAAACCAATTACTTTTTTAAAGTTTGACAACCATTATTGGAAATAAAGTATTCCTGCATCAATATTTATATCGCTCAAAGAATCACCTCCTCAGGTTTGTCTATATACAATATGAACGAAAAAAAAACAGCATAACCGTAAAATTATATGGTGAAACACCGATCGTCATTTTCGCCGCGCCGCGCTGCCCACGTTTTCTTTCGATCATACTGTACTTAAATAACACTCCGTAAAGTGTTAAGTATGTAGCAAAATTTTTCAATATTGTAATTTATATATTAAAAGTAAATTAATTCTATGCTTCAAATATAGTCTTAGTTTTTAAAAGGTAGTTAAAAAATTCTAATTACATGTCCCTATGAGTTACATTTCGTGTAAATATTAATGTTATTTTCCAATTTAAACAAATTAATTGAGGTAGGCTACAATTTTAAAAATAGTATTTCATTAAATTTGAAATAGGTCCTAAAAACTATAATATGCTATTACTAGTTGTATGCTTACCAATTTTATACATTTGGGAAACCTTTTACGGACTTCACTGCAAATAGAAAACGGTGAGCCAAATAAGGCTCAACAATAGCGATTAGATGGTCAATAGAAACCTGCAACACTCGCTCAGAGCATAGATTATATCAACAAAATATAACAATTAAGTTCTATTGCTGCGTCTCCAAATCCAAACGCATTTTTACTATCTATACTATCCAAACACATTTGTACTAGATCTTTTATCAAAATCTAACAATAATCTTATTAATAATTCAAATATAAGTTATAAAACAAAATGAAAAGAACTTTATTGCATTTTACAAAAATACACTTTAGGAATACAACCATTGTTGTCATAACAAAAATTATCCGTTTTAAGTTTTACATCTAGAACACTCTTATTGTCACTCAGAACTATATCTATAGTTTGTCTAGTTAATAAATATATGAGAGTGACTTTTTTCTGTAATTTTTAGTAGAGTATTTTTTTCTGAGAGTTTTTTGATATTTGTCAAAACTATCATATATTCTTTTACTGGACAGACTATAATCCTAAAGGCTGTATAATCATCTGCTTGTAGATTTATTAACTTGTACTTTACTACACTAGAATGACATAAAAGAGTTCTAGTATATCATTTATTTTGTTTATTAATCAAATTTTATTTGATTACTCATCCATATTTAAGAATATAAGAGATAACAAATGCTGAAAACTTTTATATAATAATAAAGTAACTTTGGATAATATTATCGAATGAAAATTGTTAAATTTGCATGTGGTAATTTTAAAAAATGACAACTTTTGAAGTTACATATATAAAGCCTTTTGGAGAAAATATGGAGCTTTAAATATCAAATATAATATTAATAAAACCCCATACTATATAATATATGCAGGCTGAGTCTCTACTGCAAGTGATCATATATCATATATATTAAATATTTTTATTTTTTGAGCACTGTCTACCTTAATCATTCATATATTACCTTACCAGATAGATAATATATGAAATAAAATCAAATAGCAAAAACCTTGTACTTCAAAATGCAATAATAATTTCATGTAATTCAACTATTTAAAAAATAAAAATATATATAAATATATTTTATATTATACATACATTTCTTACACTTCTTTTTCATTTTTTTATATATACAAAAAATTGCATAACCAAACTTCTTTTTAGGACTTTTAGGAAGTAGTGGAAGGGAAATCATATATTTTCTGGCCATGCTTTATTTCAACAGTGAAACATATTGGTACATTTTTATTCCAACTCCATACCTCAACAAAAGGTTATAAGGAGTTTTTCTGGAGCAGTTCCAGTATTGCCTTATTTTCATATAAAAAATATATATTTTTTATGTGATAGTGCAAAGGCAAACGTAACCACTGTACATAAAAATATGTTGTGTACACTGTCTACTAAAAGCTTTGAGCCTGTACTGGTGTATTTTTTTTTAATTTATAAATATAAGAAGTCTGGTATACATATATATTTTCAGTTCTTCAATGTAATTATATGACTACTATGATGTTTCACTTATGAATACATGAAATTAAAAGCAGACTTTCAATTAATAACCTTTGCAAAAAATAGTACATCTTAAAATGTTCTCATGTTATGTCCAACAAAATATATTACTTTATTACATATTTAGTTAATATTGAAATGAATAATCAAAACATTTGAGTTTACAAGTAACAAGTAGCAGATTTTATTTAGATATGTAGATACTTGTTTTGTTTCATAGACAACAAACAGTATGCAAATTCTTCACATTTTGATTTCTTGATATATAACAGTTTTATATTTTAAATGTAGTAATTAAAGTATCTAGAACATGAATATGTTTGGACAGACCTTTTTTATAAAAATAAATTAATTAATATCTTAAATTTGTCAAGAATAATTAAAAATCTAATAAATCAAAAAACCTGAAACACATACCTTATATAAGTATCTTTATCTCTGAACTTATTACATAACGGGTTCCCATCTAAAACAAGATCTATTACTGGTAGCTTCATTAGAGCATCCAAATTTGCAACATCTCTTATCTGAAAAATTATAGATTAAAATTACCATAATGAGTATAGTAAAGACCATAATAAACGAAAATATGGCGTCGCACCTATGCGATTCTTGAAATGAATATTGATTATTGTTACGTACGGGTCCGCAACATTATTATTTTTGACCCCTCATGTGATTTATTTAATTGAAAAAAATGTAAAAATATGTCAATCTATTAACAGATAAAAATATTTCTTGGATAGAAGCATTTTCGGGCGGGTCCATAATAAAAAATAAGTGAGGGGTTCTTGCAGTATCAACATGTAATATTTAAATAAAAATGTTTCTTGCCTTGTAACTGCTGTTTTGTAAAATTTTCAGCTTCCAAAAATAATGAAAAACGGAAAATAACAAAAAATTATGTTTGTTTGCCGTTATGGGGAAACCAACCACCCTCTCGTTACCGGTTTCGGGGCCTATACCCCATCATCAGATGAGCTAACCAGGCTGGATTTCCCAGAACGGCAAACAAACAAATTACTAAGGTCCGACCGAACCTGGATTTTTAGTCTCGACCGAGACCGAGAAAAAAATAAATTCTCGGCCGAGAACGAGACCGAGACACGATGCAAATATATAATAGTTTATTATATGAAAAAAATTTGATAATAATGTAATAAAAACGTTATTTTCATGCAGAAACGGTTTTATTGGGATTTAACACTATAAAATTACTAATACTAATAAAATTACTTTTTTTTAGTCTATGTTACAGGCTAAAAAAGTAATTGTTCAGCATTGCATCCTTTCAAATTACGCAGTGTTTCATCATATTCTTTCTAAATAGTTGTTTGCTAGTGACGCTTGTTGGCGGTGCAGACTAGAAATTTATAAGCTGCTGGTTTCAGAACTCTGTACAGGGTGGCTCGAATTCGACGCTCATCATTGGGATTTCGGAAACCGTAAGAGATACAGGATCGGTTAAATGGAGGCAAAGTTGCCACAATTTGATGCTCAATAAAATGCCGTATTGCATTTTTATTATTTTTTTTTTGCATAAAATATTCTGGTTATGGAATTTTCTGTACGAAACGTCGGCAAATATCAAAGTGACTATATATAGTGTTTTAAGAGTGATGAAAGGATTTAATTAAATTGAAAAAAAAAATCAGGTCCATATTTAAAAAAATTAAGTTGATGATGGTCGCCAGAAGCCGAAACGTCAGAGACAATATTTCATCACACAGAGATATAGAGCAGAAAAAGTGGCCATAAAAATGTGTTTTTCATTTCATTATCTATTATCCTTAAAGTCACTGAACACTGAATTTATTTTTTCAAAATACAAATTCGTAAATAAATTATATTAAATAAAAAATAAAACAAAATTCAAAAAAATATTAAACAAATAAAAATATTATATTCTTCCGTATTACACGTGCGGACACAATCAATGCAAATACGTATGTGGTCCCAGTCCGCATTTTCTTTTCGAAAAATCGCATAAAAAGAGGGAGTAATTTAATTTTTCTATGAAATATATTTTTCTTCAAATGGCATCGGCGGCGGCGGTCCGTGTGTGATATCAAAGCGCGTGCCGAAGTCAAAAGGTGCCGACCAGATATAAACTAAACAAGTTATATTCGGAAGTGCACATCTAGACAATGGAAATAATTTTTGTATAATTATATTCTTCACTTTTGAAAATTTCCGAGCCGTTAGGCTTTTATATTTTCCTATAACTAAAATACTGTGTTTTGTAATATCAAACTCATTATCTTATAGGTATAAAAATGTGTGTGAAACACAAAAAAATTATATAAACAGCAGTACAGCAGTGTGAAGCAAAAAAATATAAATAATTACTATATCAATAGGTATATACCGTATGATAAAAAAAAACGGCATCCAGTTGGCTTGGAAATAAACATCAATGACATTCCCCATATAATTTTACATATAAAATGACAGCGAACTTCATTTCATAGTCATCGCTGACGCCGTTCTTTTTTCGGTCATATTGTATCTTTTAAAAGATTTAAATCTTTTTTAAAATAACTTAAGTCGTTAAAAAAAGATTTAAGTATTTTAAGTCATCTTTCGAAATAAATGAAATGACTTAAGTCATTTGATTTATCGACTTAAAATCAAATGACTTAAGTCACTAAAATGATTTAAGTCAAAAAAAGACTTAAGTTTTCTGTGAGCTTGCAGCTCTGCTAGAGATGCTTTGCCATACTGAACAACACCATAGACAAGAAAGATAAACAACACACTAAAATAGGTGCAAAAACACGAAATAAAATTTAGTATGAAGTGCAGTTTTACACGGAGCGGAGCATTCGCTCAAACCGTCCGCGCTGATCGTCCCTGTTGTGCCGTTTCACATGGAGCGGGCCGTCCGGCGTCCGCGCGGACCGTCCGTTTATTGAAGAGGTACTATGAGCTTGTATGAGTATTTTGACATGGGCGCGGATGGTCCGCCCGTATGATTTCGTCCAACAGCCATCCGTCGATCCCTTGCTTCGACGGATCATCCGCGCCTATGTGAAAGTATTCATACATTCAATACTCATGGTACTTGTTCAACCAATGGGCGATCTACAGGTGAAAGTACTCCGTCAATTCTTAAAAATACACACAATGGTCCACGATGGTCCGCACGTCCGCTCCATGTGAAACAGCACTCAATACTCAATAGTATTATAAAAACGTCCCTTCGATAGTACATAAATACGGCAGCGCGCAGAGGTAAAAAGAACCATTTTCTTATCGTCTATCGAATCTACGTATTATTTTTTAGCGCAAAAACGGGTTAATATTTTATAGCTTTTTTGCCCTGAATATTTTGTCGAACCATTTTTGCGCTGATTAATATTCGATTCACTTTTGCCCAAAGTTGTGATGTATATGCTATTTTTGATCTTAGAGAAAATTTAAACCCACTTTTGCTTTGAACAAAATTTTATCCCACTCTTACTTTCGACCTCTCATATATGGATCAGATATGATCCATTCTTTTTTTCTACTTCGGAAGAGTATTTCCACAGTATGATCCACGCATCGATAGGTGGAGTGATGCGCTCAAAAATAAGCTAATTTGACGATCGTGAGCAGTCTCGGCCGTGGCCGATAATCTCGGCCTTTTTATGCCGAGACCGAGACCGAGATCTCGGTCGGACCTTACAAATTACTATATCATCTGGCTACTTAGTTTAGTGTTGGTGTAATAACTCACCAATATATCTAATAGCGCCAGTACACAGATTTACTATTAATATATTATTTACATGTGGATGACTGCCTGAGCTTTTTACTTTTTTCATTTAAATATCCTTTTTTTTAATTTCTCGTCAAATTTAATAAACACATATACCGGGTGCGTCTCTAAAGTGGCTCACCCCTATAATTTTTTTATTTTTTCAAATAAAAAAAAACAGATTTGGTATGTTAGTACATGACATAAATTAGGATTGATTGACATATTATTCAATTGAGCGTCCGGATTGCACAACGACCTTAGTGCGTGGCAACGGGCAGCCCAGTAGGCAAGCGAGACATCGACGCTTTGCTGCGCGCCGATTTAACAAAATAAATAATTTTAAAACTGCCGTCATTCCGTTAATAGTTATCGTATCGTGCTGATTTTTGCATAGAAATACTCATGAGTCTTTAGCGCTTCCGACAAGCCTAAATAATTGGATTATTTTTTATATTTTTGATTTGTTTACATTATCCAAGCATATTATAACTTTGAGATATAAATCTCTGTTATAAATTTTAAAACTGGCAAATATGAATACTACCATTTAATTAGTTATACATTTAGTTACAACATATTCAAAATTTAGGTCTATCGGTTTATGCTAGCAGTAATAACGAGTATAAATAAAAAAAAAATGGTCAGTACGCTCGCCGTTTTTAGCGCACGTTCAGCTTTGGTTTTAGTTTTATCGCTATTTTTACAGAAAATAAATTCTGAACTTTGATCAAATGACAAGAACATTATCATTGCCAATATCTTCTGGTTATATTGTAGTTCTTTTTTCAAAATATTGCATTGTTTTAGCTTAAAAAAAACTTGAATTATGCGGCTTTTTTTGTGAGAGCTACCGGAGCTGCGTTAATAAAGAGATATTAAAGTTAATAAAGAGATATAAAAGATACTAAAATCGAAGCTAAACGTGCGCTAAAAATGGCGAGCGTTGTACTCACCATTTTTTTTATTTATACTCCTTATTACTGCTAGCATAAACCGATAGACCGAAATTTTGAATATGTTGTAACTAAATGTATAACTAATTAAATGATAGTATTCATATCTGTCAGTTTTAAAATTTATAACAGAGATTTTTATCTCAAAGTTATAATATGCTCGGGCAATGTAAACAAATCAACAATATAAAAAACAATCCAGTTATTTAGGCTTATCGGAAGCGCTAAAGACTCATGAGTATTTCTATGCAAAAATCAACACGATACGATAATTATTAACGAAATGACGGTAGGTTTAAAATTATTTATTCTGTTAAATCGGCGCGCACCAACGCGTCTCTGTCTCGCTTGCCTACTGAGCCGCCCGCGGCCACGCGCTAAGGTCGTTGTGCAATCCGGACGCTCAATTGTTTTCGGTCACTTCCGGTTTCACGGGAAATGACTACAACTTTTGATTTTTAAATGGCACCATCGATATTTTTTTACTTTATTCGATAGAAAAGGACACTCTGAATAGAATGACATATCATATGTCAATTTTTGACATTTTCGCATATGGTTTATTTGAAATTATAACATGCGGTTCATATCGACAATTTGACTTGAAATACCAAGTGTGTGGTATCAAACTATTCGTAAAAAATGCTTTTTTCAAATATTTTTCAAATATGCTAATGAGCCACCCTCGTTTCGTTTGAAAAAATTTAAATATGATTAAAAATACGATATGGGCATCTTTTAACCGGCCAGGACAAGACACTAAAAACATTATGGTACGTATACATTGGTGCGCTGCGCCGCAAACGCGCTCATCGAAAAAGCATTTTTT